TATCATGAAAAGGTGTTCAATCAAGTTCTGACATATTGTAAAAAATTGATTTCATGTAATAGAATATGTTGTTCTAGATAGAGAAATATATTGTTAATCTCAATGAAGATATTAGAATATTTTGAACAATTTTTCTTTTTATTAGAATTTCATCGGATAATAATAGAAAAATCATTTTCTTCTAAAGAAATCAATGATATATATATATATTGCTCAAATATCATTTTAAAATAGAGACGACTTTTCAAATACTATGACGATATAAACAAAAATTCTTGAGACCACTGACTGAGTTGAATCGAGCGTGATGTACATTGGAGTGACTCTTAAATACATACACATGTCTATACAATTTCACTTACGCTCATAGGAAGAATCGTAAATTGAACTGATTCTTTGATTTAATTCACTATATTATATGTCTTCTCCATTTACATTTCGATTTTAGTTAACGAGTGAAACAAGACCTTGATGTTAAATGTCCATGAACTATTAATAGCATAGACGAAACAAAAAAAAAAAAAAAAAAAGAGAGAAATACCAATGTATATCTTCTACAATAGAAGGTTAAGCATATCAAAGAGAGTGAATAGAACAAAAAAGGTGCTCATGACATAGTACATTTCTTTTACTGCTGACCTAGCATATGTATTTTCTCTTTTCTAAGAAAAAAGAAAAATACTAGAGAATGAAACGGTCAATTTCTATCGACGACATCATGCAATTGGTCATCATTCTATTCTTTATACGTTTCTTTTTAACTATGTGGTAGATAAAAAAAAATGATTTGACTGAACTTTTTCTCACATTTGTTAACGCCTTTAACAGTATGTTGAAAAAAAAAAGAGCTGGAAAGAGGAAGAAATTCTATTCTGCTTATTACATCACTCTGAACTAGGACTATACTATATAGTGTTAGTAGCTATTATTAAAACGAATAGATCCATTTTGTAGGTCGCTTTCAATGTACATATATGAAAGAACGGATAAAAAATTATATGTAAGAGATTTGCAAAAAGAAAAAAACGACTATAAAGACCATGAATTTCGAAATCAACTGAATGAATTTATATTTAACAAATAATCTTCAATTTCAAATAGATGAAAACTTTATATTTAAAATCAAACAATGATTGACAATGTAGATTTTTTTTTTGTTATAAATAGTAATATAAGAAAAAAAATGTTCATCAGAGAGAGAGAGAATAATAGTTATTACAACCTTGATCACTTGAGATTATTATTATTTAAATAAAAATATTTTTCTTATGATTAAAAAAAAAAACAAACGTATATATTTCGATATAAAATAATCAAGAGAATGCATAGAAACGAATATCAAAGGAATTAAACTAATGAGATAAATATTATTTCCCATGTGTTTTACATGATAAGATTTGTTGTTTTTTTTTTTTTTATAATCTTGATTTAAGATATTATTAGCAAAAAAAAAACACAAACTAACTTTAAATCATCTGAATATTGAGATTCATCAGAAAGATTTCCATCATGTTGTCCATTATCATATAATCTAGTTGATTCAAAATGTTCATTATCATGATCATATTCTTCGTCGTTTTCGATTTCATTTTCATTATTCATCATTGTTAACTGATCAATTGTTTTTTGTTGATCTACTATAAAATAGTCATCATCATCATCATCATCATCATCGTTGTCATCATCTTCTTCTTGTTGTTCATTTGTTCTCTTTTTTTCTTGTTTATTCAGTTGTTCACCGGTAAAAGTCATAGGACAATGATTGTCTTGTATAGACGATGTCATCGGTAAATTTAACGAGACATTGTCTGCATGTGACCTTATCTTATTATTTTGTTCAGAATAATAATTAACATTGTCATAAACGGATAAAGTTTGTTCATCATCAGTTTCTTTTTCTTTTATAATTGTACATTTTATTGCATAAACTAAACCAGTAAATTGAGAATTACATGAAGTTAAATTAACATTTATCGGCGTCATTTTTTCATTTTCGACATTTAAATTTCTAATAGATAAAAAAAAAAACCAGAAAGAACAAAGGTTATAGAAAAATGATATATCAACAAATATATATATATATCTAATATTGTTTCTTTACTGACAGAGTATCAAGTTTTATTTTATGAAATAAAAATGTAATAATGATGATAGTACGATTTTGAAAGATAGAATGAACTCCATTTAAAAAAATCTGGAATGTTGTTGACTCAAAAAAAACACAATAATCGACATTACGGCTAATAAACTTTGACTATTCACAATCGAAAAATGATAATGATGAACGATTCAAAGAAAAAAATACTAATCCAAGTTACGCTACCATGCTAAGACGTTACTAAAAGGTCGATTAAATTTTCTATTTGATGTATGTAAATCTCACCTCAAAAAATGAATATTCTATTTGCATGATGTTCTATTGCAATAAAAATTAATTTATATACAGACAAGAACTTTTCGATAAAATTATTTTAGATCGAATAATTCGATCATTCACACACACACTATATTAATTAATACTAAACTTTGTTTTTTTGAGTAATACTTAATATTCTATCGAAGCGATTTTGTTAGAAAGAAATTTTTTCAATATTCACATAATTGACTAAAATTTTCATGTTAACTAATAATGTAAAAAAAAATTCGATTAATCTATTATTGATCAATTTTAAATATTTAAAATAATCACTAATTTAATTTTAATCTATATGTTTAAAATCTTGAATTTAACTTACTGTATATCCGAACTTATATAACTATTCTTATTTTGTTGAATATCGAATATTATTGATTCTGAAATATCATCTGAATCTGAACAAAAACTAGTCATATCTGAATAAACGCTTGTGTCATGTTCAATTGTATTTAATTCCATTGGTAAATATGATGTAATTGTTGTAAGAGATGAAATATCATCTAATTTATTTATTTCTTCAGGATAAAAATAAGTATTATCATAATCGAAACTATTTGTTTGTTCTTCGGAAAAACTAGTTATTGCTGTTATAGCCATTGTTGAATGATTTGAAAGAGAATATGTTTGTATTCTCTTTGATAATGAAGAACAATAATGATTTGTTGAGAAATTTTCAGATTTATTAATAAAATAATTATTATTTATTGTATATGAGATTTTATTTGTAAAAAATGTTTTTTCAAGAACAGATTGTAATGTTTCAATTGATGATGAAGAAGCTACAGATAATATAAATAAAAAGAAAATTAAATTTTAATCTAGTTTTTTTTTGTTGTTGTTACCTTGATTATCTATTAATTGATTATTTTGAAAAAATTTTATCCGTTCTTGATTATTATATAACGAATATGTTGGTTGTTCTAGTAAAAATTTCATATCTTTTACTTTTAAATAACAAACTAATAATGATAATGGTAATGTATGCTATTTTTCTCTATCATTATCATCGGGACATGTCTACTGTCCAATTAAAATATTGGACTGTTTGGTCAAATCTATAGGTCGTCATGTTAAGATATCTATCTAAATGTTTCTCTCACATACAATCATCATGAATACTTTTCGGGGTTATTACAAATTGACACGATTGAACGTATAATTTATCACGCATTTCGAATTTTACACATATATAACAACTAATTTTTTTTTCTTTTTTGTGAGTCATTATTGAATGATAGATGATATAAAAAAAATAATATATCAACAAATTATCTATATGAATGAAATAAATAAAATATAAATGAATCGAAAGATAAATTCAATATGAAGTATTATCAATTTGATTTCAAAATAACGAGATTATAAAACTAATCTATTTGGATTAACGATATCATGATTGCATGTTTTTTCTATGCAATAAATTTGACAAGATGCTAGACACCATTCTTCTTGGACATGTGGTTTTTTTTCTTCTTTCTTTATTCAATGATTATTTTTATTAAAATACAGACACATTTCTTATCTTCACACGTATAAAACATGCAATCTAAAATGTGTTAAAACATGCCAATAGTTTCTTTTACTTTTAATGTTATATCCAATGTGATAATTTGTTCAATTTGATTGTAAAAATACAATTCTGAACAAAAGTAACTGCTCCCTCTCCCTATGAATTGCTATTATTCTTTATAATATTAAACTGATATTTTGGGATATATGCGTGTAACAATAAATTCTGATCGCAAGCACTATCTTCCCCATCTATTGCTTCGCATGTATTGGAGTTACGATTCAAACATCATCTTATCTCAATCATATTGGTATAAATATTTTCGTCCAATCTCTTATTCGAAATTTCATTGTCGTAGCTATTTCTAGTCCAAATTTGATTAGAAATCACTTTAAAATAAATGAGATATTTGTCTTCTGATTAAGGATATCTGCGGAAGAGCAAATACTAGTTTTTAATAAGATAGATTTTTTTCCATGATGATTTTAGAAAATTCTTATAAGATAACAAGTCTTTTCTGAAATTTTTACATCTACAGAACAAACTGAAGTCAAGTCAGTTTAACTATCTTAGAACATGTTAATTACGAAGATCTTGTCTATGTGTTACAAGCTTTGACGCTAATACAGTAGACATATGAGGTTGTCTTTAGCGCTAAATAAAAACAGTAGTAGCTTGTGAAATAGGAAAGTGACAAACATACATTTTTTCGTTGAATATGGGTTTTTTTTACAAGGGAAAGAGCATGTGTGAATCAAAGAAGGGGCAAGTTGATGTTTGCGATCAGAGATTATTATCGTAGGTATGCATTTAAAATATCTATTCAATATTTTAAAAAATAGTTGTACTTCATGGAAGACGGTAACTTTTGTCTACGATTGATAAATTTATATTATTGATCGAACTTATAATATTCATTTAATATTTATGAAGTTTGCAAAGAAAAAATTTCTATTGGAATGTTATTCATTTTTTTCAAAAAGGAAAAAAAAAGATAAAATTCTTTTATTAATCCTATCTATATAATAAATATGTTTTCAAACCAGTAAAAAGAATAATTTTCTACAGAAAGAAATGATGAAAAAAATTCGTCTTATACTTGTTACTTTACATATTTTAATCACAATTTTCTTAATATATAATCCTCATTTTCATTTATCATTTGTTGTAAATTCATTAAATTATGAAAAACAAATTTCATTCATTATTCATTATATTATTAATTTATTTTGTATATCATTTTATCATTCATCATGTATTATTGCTATATGGTATAGTCATCGTTATAGTACTAGAATAATAGGTGCAACAGGAATATTATTAATTGGAGAATTTTTACAACTGATTGCAAAAATTATTCAGCATAAAATTGAAATACAACATATTCTAGTTGGAGAATTATTTATTAATATTATTACTTTATTATTATTTTTAATAGCTATAATAATTACTTTTATGTTAGCAAAAAAAATTTCTCAACATGAAAAAGATTTTATGCGAGTAGAATTATTAACAAACACTTAATTATTAATGAAACATCAATGAAGATTGGAGGAAATTTTTCACTTGTTTAAAATTTATTAATAAATATTGAAAATATGTTCATGAAGAAAAAAAATAATACATATATATTTCCTTCTATACCAGATTATATCAATTAGATAGTAGATGAACTATGAATATGTGATTAAAAGATGTAGACGCAAAATCTATATATAGCTTATGAAAATTTTATTCTTTTGGGTTGCACTCAAAACAAACGTTGATTTATGAAAAGAAAAGTATTTTTTTTGTTATTCTAATGCAATGATTTTATCTATTATCTTCATCATGATGTGTTGGTTTAATATACTGAATATTGCTATAAAAATATTTTTATGATATATATATATTAATTGAGTATGTCTCTACAAACACGCGATCCTTTGAAATAATCAAAAAGATTGCTGAGTGATTTCTTCCTGTTGTTTCTCTACTAATTTTCATTGAATCCTGTTTTTTTTATTTCTTAAACTCAAGTCTATGTCAATATGGTAATTTTTAGTATTGTATTTTCATTATAATCAAGCGTTGTTTTTTTTTCTTCCTAAAAATATTAACAAATCTAGTCTATTGATCAATTAAACATACTCAAAGAATTAGAGTGCACTTTCTGTTTATTTTCATCAATTTTTTTTTCTTTATATGTCAATCAGTGAAATTTTTGTTGACGAACCAAGTACAATAAGTTTTTCAAAAATGTCATATCAGTGTAAAAGAAAAAATAATTGATATAAAACAGATGCTCTTTCATTCCATTTGCTATTTTAAAGCTAGATAGACGTGGGCTCATATTGATTTATTATGCTACAGAGTAACTATTCAGATTTTTTTATATCCCCAATGTCATCAACAATTCTACAATAAACAAAACATGACAAGCGAAGAATAGCTTGAAAAAAAAAACATTTATTCTAAATCTATAAGTCATAAGTAAAACATATTAGGATAATTTTAAAATATTTGGAATAAAATTACGTCACAAAAAAATTTAAATTATCAATTATCAATATCATGTTATATTTTATTTGAGATTTTTACATATACGATATGAAATATGAATACAGTGAGAAGCATTTATACAATAGAAGAATTTCTCTTCGTTATCATTATTCATAATATGTCAGAAGATAATTTCACTGTTTTTTTCTTGTCGAATTTATACATAAAATTGAAATGAAATCATGTATAGTATTTTTAAAGAATTCTTATAAAAACAGACATCTATTGAATGATTCAATGTCTATCAATCGTTCAAATATGTTTGTAATCGAGTTTAATTTGCATATATTTCTGCATAGATTAATACTATAGAATCTTGAATTTCTTTACAAAAGATGAGCTATCGAATTCTTCACGATAATGATATAAGGAGAAAAAAAAAACGTCTTTTTGGCTTGTTGTGATGAACTTATAGGACTTGAAGTCAAGATGTATGAAAGATTACTACTTATCGTTAATATCAAAAATAATAAAAAAATCTTTGTAATAATATCTTTTCTTATATTTATTTTTAGATCGACGAATCATAAAACTTACATTGTTTTTTTAAGTGGTACGTCGTGAAAGACCTCATCGTAAGCAAAGCGATAGACGTTCTTGATATTTTCTAATCGATTTTGAGTTACACGAAACACTGTAACTAAAACGCTCCATTGAAGGAGCAACTTTATTATCGAAATTAAGTTTATTGTACAAAAAAATTCATTGCTCAATATAATGACTACTGAGCTCGTGGTTGTCCTGATATGTTCGAAAGTAGTGAGCAAAAAGTGATTAATGATTTAGATAGAGAACTAGATTGAATAATAACAATATCTTCTATAATTTTGTTTTTACTTATTTTTTGGTAACTTATCTTTGTAAATATAAATACAAACACAGTATTCTTACAAAGATTTTTTTTTTATTAGGTTTGATATTATTGACAAATAGGAATCTTTCACACATCTTTACTTTTAACTCTATCAATGCATTATCAAAACAAGTCAAACTGATTTTGTTTTGTTTTTTTTTGATATCATTATTCCAGAGAATTTCATAGTTCTTCTTTTGAAAAGAAATTCAAAATTTTAATATTTGTCTGTTCATTGATATATATATATACAAAATAAATTATATATTCGAAATATTATGTGTAAAACTCAATATCAATAACTGCATAGAAGAATATTATGTCAAGAATCTGTGAAAAAAAAGATGAGAAGCTAGTAGTTTCTTTTTTTTTTCTGTAATCTTTCTTATATTCTTCTTACTTCCGATAGTCTTAAATAAGAAACATTAGAAGAACGCAAGATATTATTATATAAACGATGGTTCTGATGACATTTGCTTACTTATTTCTTAGAGAACTCTAAAACTCCGAAAAAAAAAACACTAAATACATTATTATATATACTTTTACATTATTAATATGCATTTTTATCGTATATGTCTTGTCTTTTTTCATATAGCCAGTGCTTTGAGTTATTTTCCACATTTAATAACACATATAATACGTATACCATTTCGTTATATTTCATTTCGTTCAAAAATTGCTTATATAACTTATTGGATTAGTTATTCTTTACTTGTTCTTGGTGTTTTAATTTGGTGTTTGATTGTTGTATGTCGAAAAAATACAATATGGCAAATAATTCAAGTATCTGCTTATTTATTAATTGCAAAATTAATCTATACATTATTTGATGTTACTGTAAGAATTCTTTTAAATTATTCATTTACTGTTATTGTTTTTGATATAATACATATTATATTATTAATACCAGCTATTATATTTTCATTTTTACTTGTTCAACATGTTAAAAAGAAAAAAGATTTTCAAAAACCTTCTCAAGTATTAATAAGTCTTGAACAAGAAACATTATCTTGTAATTAATTAATTAAATTTTTTTCTTAAATAAATTTATTAGATAGATATTTAAATATTTATTATTTTATTAATGAAAAAAATTTTCATTTTGAGACAAACTTAAAATTTAGAAATTTTTTAATTAGATAACAAAATCTCTTATGGCTCATTCATTTTTTCGACTCAACATTTGTAGCAAAGCCGAAATACAATAAGATTTTTAAAGAAAGTGAATTATTAAGTGTGATAAATTTAACTACATGAATTCTGTAATAATTATATTGACCGTAAAAAAAAAGAAGAGCTTTTCTCATAATGTCACTTAAAAAATACGTTTCAAGAAAAAAAAAACTGATGTTACATTTCTAGAATAAATTTAATCTGAAGTTACAAATGAAGAAGATAACATTGAAAATAAAACGTAACAAATTTTTTTTTTTGCTTTTTGCTGCATTGACTATTTCAACGTCTTCATTAGATGCATCATCAAGTACAATAATCTTAGCTGTCAATAATTTACAGACACAAACTTGACATTTTTGTTTTCTCAGATTCCTCTTAATGAAAAACAATACGACAATGTGTATTTATTTTTATCTTTACTGACCTATTCAATTTTCTAAAAATAGTTATAAAGACTAGCACATGCAATTTTGATAGTCTTAAATTGTATATTTATAAAAAAAAAATTAGTACAAGATACTTGCGTACCGTATTTTTGATCGATACTTCCATGCGTAGCCAACAACAAAAACACAAAGTGCTTAGAAGAGTTTTTCATATGTAGAGCTTGTTGCGCTGATCATTATTCCTGACTGCTACTGAGCGGTAATTAACATTTTTGACCCTAGCATCATGATTTATTTAGTAAATTTCAATATTTTTCTTTTACTAAAATGATCAACGCAACGAGTTCTATAGACGAAAAAAAAAAATCTATGATATTATTCCAAATTAATGAACATTATGTCTCTTGTCAAATGTACTCGATTGGTTAATGTTTTAGAAAAATATAACCTAATATTACACGTTTAATTATACGTGGAGACAATTCGTTGTCATATATAATTTTCTTACTTTTAACAAAATTTTATTGAGTACATAGACCAAAATGATAATTATACTTCGATAAACATAATGAAGCAAAAAGAGGGTTGACGTGTATTTTTTTTTAATATATATTTATTCAAAAAAAAAAAAGAAAATATATGACAAATCTTTTGTCTTACGGACTTTATTCAGATTTTGAAGTGAGATATTCATTTTCTCGAATTGCCTAAAATAAAGAAATTTAGAACAAAAAAAAATAAAATAAAATATAGAAATATACTTCTTGAAAATCTTTAAGAACTTTTGTATATTGTCTAGCTTTATCAACTAATTGTGCTAATTGAGTACTTAATGCATCACGTTTAGATTTTTCTTCTTGTTGACGTTGTTCAATTTTATTTCGACTTTGTTTAACACTTTCAACAATTGTTTCTAATTGTTTAAGAAAATTATCTTTACCATTTTGTGATTGAATAGCTCTAAAAAAGAAAATTTTTTTTTTGTTTTTTTTTTTATTATTTATTAGAAATTTATTAACTTACTGGGGATAACTTTCATAAATTGATTCAATTAATTTTATTTCTTTTGTCATATAATTAATCATATCAGTAAATGTATTATATAATGTATAATTTTGTTTTGTTTGTCGATATAAAACAGCACTTTGATTATATAATTGAAAAAATGCTTGACGATATTGAGCTAATTCAATTGAAGTTGGAATATCATCTATCTGTCGACTTATTGAAGAGATTTCACGTGTTTTTTTTGCCTAAGAGTAGAATACAAAAATAAAAAGATAAGTTGAATTTTTTCACTTCCGCGATCGAAAGTAAGATTGAAAAGAGTCTGAGAATATTCAACAAGTAAAATTACAAAACAAGTTTTTTTTGTTTTATCTTCCAGTTCTCATTCTCAAGATTCTTTCTTTTAAATTTATATTTAGAATTAATGAATAAGTCTGAAATTTTTCAATACTTATAGTTATTCAAAGAAAAAAAAAATCTAAGATTTGATATATCTATGAAATAAATATAGTAATTATTGATTGTTTTTAATTTACTAAAGCAAGTCTTTGATTTTGTAATCGATCAGCAACTGATTGATATTGTTCTTCAATTTGTTTTATTTTTTCATTTTCTTCTGTATCTATATCAGATGATGGTGATGATTGTAAACGAGTTTGTAATTGAACAATTTCTTGTTCAAGTTCATTTTTCTTATTTTTATATGTTGTACGTCGTTCTTGCTCTTGTTTTTTTATTGTTTCATATTCAGCTACAAGTGCTTCAATACGTTTAAGTGATCTAAAAATATATAAAAGAAAATTTTTTTTTTTTGCTTAAACGAAATAAGAATTTACTCAGGATCAATATCTTTTGTTTGTGTTTCAATTTGTTCAAGTTCTGTGTTTAATTGTTCATATTCTTGCTTAATCTTTTCGAAAAAAATAAAAAAAAAATAAACTTAATTCAATATATACTTCTAATGCTAGATTTCTTTTTTCATCTTTTTGTATTTTTGTTTGTTCAATAAGATTTTGTAATGTATTTATTTTTTCTATTTGTTTATTTAATTGTATTTTAAATGTACGTATTGCTAATTGTTGTTGACCATTTTCAGATAAAAGAGCTTCTTCAAGACGAACCTTTTCCTTAAGAAACAAAAAAAAAAAAGTTTATTTTAATATAATATTTTTATTTTTATCTATTACTTTTTCTTCGAAATCATCAATAATTTCACGTAATGTATCTTGTTGTTGATTGACTAATGTATATACAGTTTGTGTTGTAATTTTAGACTAAAATTAAAAAAAACAAATGAGATTTTTCTTTTTTTTAAAACAAAATTTTATTTCTATATTACTTTTTCATTGACCATATTATTAGTAAGTATATTAATATCTTGTTGAGGTTTTTCATTATTATCAACTGATGTAAATAATTGATGTATTTGACCAAATTCAACAAGTGTAGAATGTATTCGTTTACGACATTCATCCAAATTATTTAAACGTGCTTTTTTATTATCCAAACATCGATAACGACGTTTAGGCCGATGACGAATCTAAAACGAAATAATTCTGTTTAAAAAGAATATCCATGATTTTTCTTTTTTTTCCATAAAGAAATTTTACTCGAATAGCTTCAACATTTTGTTTTAATGATATTGTTTGTTGATGTTGTACTTCATCTATTGTTTTACCAAATTGTTTATCATATTGATTTATTGTATAGGCTCGATTAAAATCACCAGTATCAGCACGTCGTTCAAATACTCGTTTAACAAGCCATTGTACAACAGGAAATATATGTATAAAATCTTCACCTTGAATTTGATGTGGTTCTATTGGATATGGACATTTCATACGAGATAAAACAAGAACAATACGTTCTGTTAATGCTCTAATTAAATGAAAGAATAATTTTTTATTTTATTTTTTTTATTAATTAGAAATATAAAATATTTTTATTTCATACATTTTTTGACCAAGTGTAGCATTTTCTTGATAAAGAACATCAATATCAACAGTAAAATTACAAGCTTGAATGCTCCAGGCAAGTCCACCAATCACCTATGAAAAGATGATTATACATGTAGACAAAAGAAATGAAAGATTACTTTATCGAATTCAGACAATCCTTTGATCCGCACACGAAAATAACCAGCGGCTAATAATAATTCCATTGTCTGATCACATTTTGCTTTTTGTTCAGGATCTTCACGTATATCAAACTATTTAGAATAAGTATAGGATTTTAAATTTCTTTAGACAAAATTTAATATTGTTAAAAAAAAACACTTTTCAAATGATAAACATTCTTGAAATGTCTAGTCATTGTTTTTATCGTTCTTTTATTATTAGTAATTAGATTTTGCAAATATTATTTGATTTGTATATAGTACCTTTCTTAATCTACCTTCTTCATCTAATGTGCTCATTTTTTGTCGTACTATAACTGTCTGCATTTTTTGTTCCATTGATGATAATGACATATTTTCTTTTTTTTTTTTTTTTTGAGATTTTGTTTTTGTTCAGATCTAAAATTATTAACAATTCATTAACCATTCATAGAAAGAAAAAGAGACAAATCTATACTTGACCTTTTTCTCTTTCTTTCGCTTTATCAAGTACAAACTATGTGTGTTTATTATGACATGATCGTCTCGCCATCGATTCATTCTGTCTGTATATATGTGTCTGCTGCCCTCCTCCCTCCTTCGTTTTACTTTCCTACTCCCACTCATGCTAGACGTTCTCCATCAATGTCTGTTCAATGTAGAATTGTAAGAGAAAGAGAAAGAGCAACACTCAATGTCCAGACAGACGACGAGCTAGTGAACAGTTGGTCGGATAGATTTTGTCGTCGTCGTCGTCTTGTAATCTCTCACAATGTTTTTCGTTATTATAATTAACATATGATTAATTAAAATTGTTTGATTAATCTTAACGTATGACGTCGTCTTCATCATCATTTATTAAAAATTCTGATGAAAATCATCCATATCATGATACTCCAACATCTTCCTCTTCAACATCATTTTCAACTTCATCATCATGTTCAAGTCCTGATATTCAAAAAAAAGAATATATTTTATTAAATAATAAATCACGTCGTAAAAAACGTGCTTTTATACCAGATGATAAAAAAGATCCAACATATTGGTCACAACGATCAAAAAATAATTTATCTGCTAAACGTTCACGTGTTAAGCGACGTATGAATGATCTTGTATTAGAAACAAAATTAACACAATTAAATCATGAAAATCAATTATTAAAAGCTAAAATTGATATGTTAGCAAGAAAATTTGGTCATTTAACAAATAAAGAAGAAGAACAAGAAGAATTAGAAAAAAATGATAATAATGACTCCGAACAAACAAAACTCTTAAATGTTTTCGATCAATCAGCATCATTAAAAATGAATTCGACAGAAGAACAATCACTTATTGATAAAACATCAACAACAACA